TAGTTAAGGTGGGGAAGACTTTCTACAAGATTGATCCACCCAAGTGGATAAAGGTACACCTTGTGCCGCTCCATGCAGATCCAGCAGATGCAAGCAAGAGTCGAGCCACAAGAGCCACCTTCAGCACTAAGCAACCAGCACAGCTCTAAATGGAGGAGATTTTGGTTGGGAGGATGATGACCGTCAACCGACAACCAACACAAAAATATCTGGTGAAATGGGAAGGTTTAAGGCCATATGAGATCACTTGGAAGAAGGAAGCCGACCTCCGTGCCTTTCAACAAAAGATTGAAGAGTTTCAAAACAACCAGTCAACGAAGGCGTTGACAGATTGAGTGGGGGAGGATGTCATGAGCCAACCTTGTATTAGATGATGATAGCGTAAAATTGTTTAGGAGATTAAGTCTTTTATACTTGTAAAGAAAATGTCCCTCTTTCAAACAAGGTAATGGCTAGTGGTGACACCTTCATAAATACTTGTTAAGTCTTTAGGAGGGAGACCCTTTAGAAAAGGAATGTTCCCATTTCAAGCACTGTAATGGCTATTGGTAGAATGCTTGTAAAATCTCGTAAACTCTTTATAGGGGGTGGGCAGTAGACAGATTGTTGGGCTGCCTCACTAGTAAAGGTACATTTGTAGCAAATCATTTAGGGTTGCCTTGATGACGATGACGCGTCTTGGTCCCTTTGTAATTAGTTTTATATTAGTAAAACATTTTTCCTTTTTATAACTCAGTGGTTGCATCTATGGCATTCGGTATGCCTTTTGATTTTGATGTGTATTCTCTTAGTTTGATTTATTGTTATTATTAATGTTGGATCAGATATAACTAAGTATTAGTTAACTTGCGTGAAAGCATCCACTCAAGTGCCGGATGGACTCTCGCATACTTAGGCAAAAAGAGCGTTGTTTGTGACATGTAGCCTAGATTAAACATGAAGAGCTTTTTCAATCATTTTAAGTTGCGTAGCCCTCTTTAAAGAAGAAGAGATTTTTTAATCATTTTAAGTTGTGTAGCCTCATTTAGAGACGATGAGCTTTTCCAAATAATTTTAAATTGCGTAACCTCATTTAGAGATGACAAGCTTTTCCAATGAATCTAAGTTAAGTAACCTCATTTAGAGACAATGAGCTTTTCTAATCATTTTAAGTTGTGTAGCTTCATTTAGAGATGAAGAGCTTTTCTAATCATTTTAAGTTATGTAGCCTGGTTTAAATATGAAGAGCTTTTTCAATCATTTTAGGTTACGCAGCTTTATTTAGAGGCGATGAGCTTTTCCAATTATTTTTAAATTTGCGTGACCTTGTTTAGAGATAAGGAGTTTTTTTTTTTCAAATTTAGTAGTCTTGTTTACAGATAAGGAGCTTCTCCAAATTGCATAGCCTCGTTTAAAGATGAGAAGCTGTTTTTGTGCATGACCAAAATAGTGTCTATGCCTTTGCATAATTCATGATTTTTAAGAAATGCACAAAAAGGGAAAGCTGTAGACACCTCATTTTGTCTGAGGTGTCTACCCAACAAAAATAAAGATAAGTAAAAAATAAAAAAACAAAAATCTAAAAAAAAAGAAAGATAATGATAAAGATAATAGAAAGAGAAAAAAAAAAGAAAAGAAAAAACTTGACTGAAACCGATCCTAATCTACCGATTTCGAAATTCAAATTTTATTTTTAAAAAAGAATCTCAATCCAAGTTAAGATTAAAACAAAAATGGCCATAAATACCCATTCTTGAAAGTTTTTAAGTGAGAAAATTTTTCTAAAATTTTACCAAAAGTGTTAGGGAATTTAAAAAGAATTTTCAATATTAAAGGATATTTTATTTATCTTTAAAGATAATAAATTGGAGAAATAGTGAAGGGAAATAAACAAAAATTCATTTATTAAGAGTAAAAAGAAAACACATAATTAATTAAGTACCATGTTAAGTGGGTGTTATAACGATGCTAATACCTTCTTCACATGTAATTATACTTTTGAACTTAACTTGTTTTGTAGATTGGAACTTATTCTTCTAAATGAATTTAAGTTAAGCTTAAGACCTCATTAAAAAGTATAGATTCACCTAAATTACCAATCACACTTAAATAAAAAAAATTAACAAACTTTTGAGTTTATGGACTTACACGTTATAACAGTATAAGAAAAGCATATTACAAATATGTGTATAATGTAAGTCTAAAGGTGGTCCAAGGCGTGACCATTTGGATTGAATATAAAGCACAAGAAATTATATTCACACCACACATGGGTTCATACGTCACACAAAGGAAGCGTGTCAATGGACCTTTGCTTTAATTGTCAGGTTTTAGCAATTTCTTTAAGATCTCACTAGAAATCCATAAGAGGCAGCCTCTCACTGCTCTACTTGCAAAGGTAGACTCACCAAAGGTGTCCACAATCAGTCTATCACTCTAGTCAAACTATTTATGAGTCTATTAAAGACATACGTCCAACAATTCTTATGACGGATCAACACTGTATCTACTAGATATGAAACTTTAAAGGAATAGTTTTTTTTATCTCAATTTATTACCTCCATATTCCAAGGATGATGCATTTAGAACATTACAGTAGTAGCATTTGCCATTTCTACATTGAAAATTAACTCAATGGATTATATTTCATTATTAATAAATGGTAATTTACTCTAGCATTTAAGCATCCCCCATGATATATTAGTTAATTTCACTAATGTTTGGACCAATCGGATTGGTTGAATTGAACTAGTGGCTTGTTTGGTCCAATTAGGTGGATCAATTGCTGAAAAGTTCAATTGGTGAAAAATCAGTCAAACCAATTTTTTGTTAAAATTTTTGTTTATTATCTTTCAAACTTGTATAAAACTCTTCATTATTAATTAAAACTCTAACCATTTAATTAAATGTTTTTTTATGTTTTTACATTTAAACTAACCAGCTGAACTGGGAATCGATGATACCACCGGATCAATCTGCGATCAAGTTTTTTAATCATTGTGTTTAACAACCTAGTGTTAGTATATACCCTTGAGCCAATTAAATTGGTCAAGGAATATATACTGTCATTTAATGCATATTTAATCGTATAACTATATATGATAGAGGTTTTTTTTTATGTTAGTGTAATAATAAGGAGTTATTAAGTACTAATTGGATGAAAACCAAGGAACATAAAAAGCCTCACAAGAGAATTGTAAAATTGTTACAATTATGAGATCACTATGCATTAAAGCCATGTTCCTAAAATTGTTTCTAGTTATTATATTGTCAAGACAGGGCATTGACAATGCTCAAAGACTAGTACATGTTAAGCCTCCTTACTTAGGAAGCAATCAATCGTTCTCATAGATTAAAGTATATGAAATACTTGAGGATAGTATGTAGGTGCTTGTTAAAAAACAAATTCACTGAACATGACTCACTATGAGAACTCTATTTGGTATTTCACTCCAGTGTCTATGAAATATGTTTTCATGTGATAATCGTGCTACAAGTCCTCAAACTTGAGAAATCAAGTCATCTTATATGAGAAATGGCATACTTTGATTTCACCCATGTTAGTTTGGAAACGACCAGATGCCTCAATAGGGTATTTTTAGGTATACCATGAAGCATGTGAAAGTGAATGAGTGGTCAAGAGAGGATTCATCATTCCAAGTGATATGAGAGAATGTATCTCACTTGTTCTTAATTCTTCATTAACTTGTATAAAGTCTTTGGCCAAAGCATGATAAATTTGAGGAAAGTTAGTTTATTAAATTCATAAGGTTGGTCATGAATTGTGAAAACTAATATGGAATGTTATAAGTAGACACTGAGCCATGCTTTATGACATATCCGAGATATTTGATGAAAATATTGTATTGTACTGAGAGGCTTATCACTAAAGGGCTTTGTCAAATTCTTTAATTGACTCTCTAG